GAAAAAGGGGGGGGGAAGTGGGTGGGGGTGGGTGGGAGAGAGTCGTATAATGTAAATAGCTGAGTAAGTAACTCGGCGATAACTACCATTGATTCACACATTTTTTTATTGTTTTCCTATGTTTCGATTTAGTGCCATCGCGACGATCTGACAAGGGGTACAATTCTCAGCTTGTTGTAAATGAAAATTTAATAATTTATTCCAGTGAAGGAACAACGGGAGAAAGGCTAACAGCGGGTCATCGCAGAAATCAATAGGGGATCTTCGATAAGAGGAGCGTGGGGCACACTACACACACAATGTCGGGTAGGTCAACAAAGTAAATCTTTAATTTAGGGTATCTGAAGATCGGAAAATTCCCGGAGGGAAAGCAATTACTAACTTATAATAAGAGTTGCAAGATAATTACCAAAATGTTTCATTACGCACATCTGTAACTTTGAGCATTTCCTTCTCCTTTAGCTTATTGTTCATGTTATTTTTGTACTAGTATTAGCCACCCGTTTTTTTCTCTTTATTCTTCTTTCTTCATTTTAACGGACTGAATTAAAATATTTGGGAGAGGGAAAAAAGGGGGGGGGGGGGGAACTAGAGGTTAATTATGTGCAGAAATGCCCAAGCAAAAGCAGCATTTCACAGAACGACTAATATTATATACGCTCTATATTTGTCGATTGTGGTGCGAAAGAGTGTTTGAGAACTATGTAGTGCCGATTCTGATGTGCGGAAGTGAATCATGGACAATAACCAAGTAGAGAAAAAAGAATTATAGAAGCTGCACACATATGGTATTAAAAAAACTATGATGAGAACACCCTGGACAGATAAAAAGCGTAACGAAAATGTCTTGAAAGAGGCTGACTCACAAAGAGAATTGATTACCTACACCAGAATGAGACAATTTTAATTTTTGGTCACATTGCAAGGAGAAGGAAATGAAGTACTTGGTTAAATCATGGAAAGTTGGAGGAGAAGAGTAGCAGAAGGAGGGGGAAGGGAGCGAGGGATATATAAAATATATATATATATATATATATATATATATATATATATATATATATATATATATATATATATACATACAGAGAGAGAGCGAGAGAGAGAGCGAGAGAGAGAGGGAGAGAAGAGAGAGAGAGAGAACGACAGACCACTTGCCATTTCGGAATCTGCAGTTCACAACACAAACCACATTGCACACAGTCGAAAGGAATTTTAAACGAATTCTGTACCGTATTGTGTCTCGGCATGCACTCAGCTCAGTAGATGGGTGCGGAACTATATGTTTTCTGTCCGCGTCTGAGAGAAAACGCAGCAGCCACCCATTGTCAGACACAAATAACTTACAATGCCTCGAAAGAAATTGTCTACCCATACTGGACTAGAAGCAAAAAGAAGCATGGACATAGAAACGAGGTGCCACCAAAGACTGGGAGAAATACACAAAGTGTTCGATTTTTCTAATGCTCAGGAAAAAAAAAAGACTTTACACACAGAAAAGACAGACACACTGAATACTTTAAACATAAAGGAATCTAAGCACACCATGTGGGAAACTGTTTGCCAAGAAACAGGTTACGTAAAATCTCTAAAAAAATTTATGACGGCTCCACCACAAGATGAACGTGGGCAAACAAATCTGTTAATAAGATGGACAACGGGGTGGTGTTACAGTCAGATGAAGACAATGGCATACATTTCTCCTGCAGACGAAAAAGACAGACTGGGTAAAGAGAGAGCAGATGAAACAGAGAGTACATGATATCCACATGGACACAATTGGGGAAGACGATGATACAGTATACATCTCAACTGAATGCACCAGAGCAACACTAGAGAGCTGTGCAGACACAGCTCCAGGGCCTGATGGCGTTAGACTGCAAAAACGTCGAGGAGACAGATATGGATGAACTGTCCAGGATATTGACTGTAACACCGTGAAAACCGGCATTATCCCTGACGACTGGCTCCACAGCTACCTCGGACCTGTTTCTAAGGATAGTTGCGTACCCTTAACAGGATGTTGCAGAACCAACCCCAGCAGCCCCTGGCTGTTGTGTGGTTTCTGTAGGCAAATTTACGTCCAGTAGTTTGTCATTTCGCTGGACGGTCGGCTCCCTGATACCACTGTCGAAACCAACGCAAGGCGTAAGGCCCGCAGCTGGGATTGAACCCGGCACCCCGGCATTACGAAGCGTTCGCATCGACTTAGCCACAGAGCCGACAACCTGTTGCTAAGCCCCGAGAATAAATGGTTGCAGAATCATCACACTCCAGAACATTATAGCAAAACTATGGAAAACAATCGTAGCCAGAATTGTTGATCCAAACATTGTAGTGAGGTGGTCTATTTCTCACTACACTAGGTGGTTACCGACTGGGAAGAGATACATGGTGCAATTTTGCAGTAACTGATACGACACATATGAGGTATTCCAGGAGGGAATGGAAACGGCTGCAGCCGCTTTTGATTTAGAAGATGCGTATAACAGCGTCCCGTACAACATGCTCGTCAGACTGCTGTTGGATACCCTCATAGACACAAAATGGGTCAACTTAATCGCAGCAGCGCTATTCGAAAGAACAATGTCGTTTCGATGTGCTGCATGGGCATCGAAACCTCATCGCGTCATAATGGGTCTGCCCCAGAGATCATCATAGTCGCCGGTTCACTTCAATGTGCACACAGCAGGAGTCATCAGTGCACAAAGTGTAGCCTGGGCAGAACAATGTTTTATGCAGATACCTCTCCGTTTGTACCGGGGAGATAGAAACAGGCACGAAATTACAACCAAGCTACAATATGAACTACAAAGACTCAGTGAGTGTGCCAGAAATCGAGATCACAAGTGAACCCATCAAAGGCCTCCTTAACATTGTTCTCGCTGAATACCAACATTGCCAGTACACCAACGCCAGTCGAAAGCATGTGTGGTGTGGACATTGAGAGAACGGACCCGATGAAATAACTGGGCATGACATTTGACAGATGCTTATCATACAAGTGCCACGTAGACAATGTCATAATAAGAGCAAGGAAAGGTTTGTCAGCACTTAAGGTGCTAGCAGCAGCTGCTATTGAACAACATCTACTCTTCCTTTTCTATCAAGGGCTAAAATTAGGCGTCCTATGACTACGATATTGGCCTTCTCACTGTCAACAGAAGCCACCTAGAAAGACTAGACCGAGTACAGAATGAGGCCACAAGACTCATACTCGGCTGCACAAAAGACACCTCCTGCCACGCCATGTGATATGTCCTGGGTTTGCCGACGATTGCTAACATACACAAAGTCACACAGGTCAAGGCTTAAACAGGGGCATGCACAAAACAAAATGAATGTGTCTCAGAAGAAGCCACCCCTGGATGGCTAAGCTGAAGAGTTAAACAAGCAGTTATGTGACCTAGACGAGACCAGTCAAGGAAAAAATGGACGAATACACCAGTAGACTGGGGAGCTGAGTGGTCACGAGGCATGGCGTCCGCCTCGAGTGCTGGAGGTCCCGGGTTCCGGCCTCAGTGACTGTTGGGATTTGTTCACGTAGACCCAATAATTTCCCCTGGTCTCTGGGTTGTAAGATCGGACCCCCGTGTGTATTGCTGTGCACGTAAAACACCCCTCGGAAGTTGGAAATCGAAAAGAGAAGCCTATTGGTGCCGCCCGGGCAAAATTTAAGGCTAAAAATCTACCCAAAGTATTTTCAGGATCCTCGACGGTGCTACAGAGTTCGTGCATTGCGCTGAGACTCTTCGGACTCAGGTTTAGGTTAAAAATAGAACGGAGCACTTATGGGTCACTACCCTCGTGCCATGATGTTGATCCGTTGTATAAACCAAATTAAACTAAACACCGGTAGAAATGCGAAGCATCTCTAAAGTTGTTATGACACTGGGGAGAAGCTGCAGGGATCAGATTCCTGCGGCCGTAGACACAGAGATAAGAGCACTGATAGATCCGCATTCACACCCAGAGGACATCGTCGTCTACACAGATGGATCAGTGAAGAGCGGATCAAGGTCAACATGGGCATACATAGCGCAAAGAATAGGTAAAAAACAATTAAAGAGGCCAGCGGCGCTTACCAGGCAACCACGTCAATCATGAACAAGGAGATAGCCGCTGTTTCTAGATCACTGGCATAAGCAGCAGAGCAAACAACCATACGTGAAGTAAGTAAATCAGACTCCATGAACATGCTTCAGAGAAAAGCAACAGGCTCTGAGTGGGTAGAAAGGATTCGAAAATCACGCTTAATCTCTCTCACCTGAATCTACACACCTGGTAACACTGGTGTCACTGGTAATGAACCTGCGATGAACTGGCAAGCAATGCACCAACGCATGTGGGAAGCAGCATGGATAGAGCAGATATCATCAGGGCTGTAGGTACTAGGCTAATGAATTATGACGAATTTTTTTACACTAACACGAATGCATGACATGGGAGTAAAGCATGGTGAAAGCACAGCTATGTCGCATTCGAGGTCGAGATAATAAACATTATAACCAACTTCTCAGGGGAACAATTAGTAGCAGTACCTTGGGATGGCTGTTGCATCAGAGGACTGAGCCCGCGTGGAAATGCCCACTGTGCAGTCGATTGTGATAACAGAAACCTGGTTCAACCGTATAACAGTTATGTAGAGGCTACCGACGGATACAGAGTAATCTGTTGATCATTACTGGGTGAGCTGAAGAGCTGCGCTAGTATACTCACAATACCTGTGAATTTACGTCTTATGTTATTTGAACCTCCCTGTATAGGAGTTGAACAAGATTGTTTCGTTTTGTTGCCAAGTAACCGGAATGGCTTTTGACGTATTCCGGCTTCAACGATTGCACCGTACACACGAAATGTATGATGGATATGACACGATGCTAATTGTACTGGTGTCGTTCTTGCAAACTATTGTTGACACTTGAGGCATACAGTACATTCAAATATAGACCTTCAGTGCTTTATTGTTGTCTATGTTGAGGTAGTCACCTTATTATTGTTCAATGGCTGGGGTTAGTATATGTTATATTATGTTACAATTACCGTTAGCAAACTTAAATGTCTTACAATTGTTTTTGTTTTAAAAATAATAATTTTTTCTGTTATAGAAATAATAATGGTATACCAATAGCTGCATCTAACTATTTTAGTCTCTATAATAATAGTATTATTAGTACTATATATTATATTAATAATATAACCTAATATTTAAAGTATTATTATAAATTTATTTTTCATATTATTATATGTAACTTTCTACAACAAATTTGTTAATAATTTGTATTTTCCATAAGTAAACATACAGTGTAGTGTACTGTTACTAAGTTAGTGTAGTGTACTGCATTCTTTAAATTACTTTCACAAAATCACAGAGTTGTTCTGTAATTTGTAATTATCAAATTAAATAAAGAACTAAACCTTGTTACCTCTCCAGATAGTGTGTGCATAAAATACTATAATATCCAATTTACAGGTCTTGATCAATCCCAGAGCTCAGATTGAACCTAAACCTCTATGTTGGTAAATGTATGCACTCTTCTGACTAATACTGTGCTTTAAAAATAATGTAACTACAATGTTTCAGAAAGAAAACATACATTTATATTGACTAGGACTTACTGAATGTACTTTAACTCTTTCAATCCCAAGCAATGCCTTGTGTGTGAATCACTTTACCCATTGATTTCCCTCTATAGTATAATGTCTTCTTCTTAATTTTAACATTTAGGGAGAACATACTAAAAAAACCAAGCTTTCCCAATAGTCACCAGCCCTGTGTATATTGTCACGTTGAAATTAATACAGTCATGATTTCCATCATGGTTATTTTTTTGCTTTGCCGTATCCTGTGAAATCTTCTGTTGCTCAGAAAGTTAAATATGAGAAAAGATTTATATATTTGCTATCAAATGACCCTATGCAACATCAGTATTGAAGGAAAATATAGACATCATTTGCTGTATTTTACTAGATCCCACATGGAAAGTAAAGAATAGATAATATGTAATCTGCCATGCATGTCATAAGAGGTGACTAATTGAGGGTTGGAGTGCCACCATTTGTGTAGACAATTCTAGCTGTAAAACCCTTCCAGTCAATATCAAATATCTGGACTTTAGTCTTGTTACAGATCTGAGCGTTGCATGCACATCAGCTTTACAGATATGACCTATTTCTATGCAAATCGTTGGTTCCTTGCTTCTCAGACAATTACACTCCAACTTTGAAGAAAGCCCCAAATTAGTCAACTCTTACGACATGCTTGATGGCGAGGCAGTTTGTCTGTTTTTGCTTTCCCCACAATGGAGTCCCGGAACCCATACAGAGAATTGGGAGTTGTAAGGGAGAAGAGTGCATAGAATATTCCTGTGCACCTAAAAAATAATTAAAGAAAAAATATTGTGAATTAGTATATTGCTAAAGTAATGTTATCAAATAAAAGTTAAACCAGTTATAACTGAATTATTTTAACGTGCCTCTTGCTTCTTTGTGTTTCCAGAGACGACAAGTACATGATCCTCTTGTCAAATTATCAAAATCATTGTCCTATTTGTTGAGACATGGTGCAGAGAAAGAAGGTTTCAAATTTCAGCCAGGTAAAATTAAATAAATGTTTGGAGTAAGAATACCTTTATTTCTGCAGAAATTACAAAAGTGTGTAACGAATGAGTCACACACACAAAAATTAACAAATTGTTCAGTCCTTCACGACATATTAATTGATTAAAATAAATTAATTTGGTCGACAGTCTGTAATTTTTGATCATGTTATAAGGAGAAATGAACTTAAAAACTTACTGATAGCTGTCAAACTTGATATTCTAAAAGCATGTGAAAGACAAAGAGATAATGCCTAAAAGGCTTTTTTTTCTAGTTGTCTTGCACCTAAAGATTATGTCTGAAAAAGTTTTAAATGTTAAAAACAACATAAAATGTTTCCTCATACCATGTGACATATGTGATTATAGGGCTAGGCACCTATTGTTAGACCAGTCTGCACCTTGCAGATAGTGTGGTCAGTGTTATATTGGCCATTTCTAGCTTTGCAGAACATTTGTTCCATTGCTTTGCTAAAAAAAAAAGAAAGATTGTCACGTTTAACCATCATCCTTAAAGTTGGGGCTTTAGGTTATAATTGTGACTAGGTTATGTGCTCCATATAAAATGGCTTAGCACTGCATGCCACCAAAAGCTGTGAAAAGGACTCCTGCAGTGTTAATTCGATCAAAGATGACGGACCCAAATACTGTCCTGACCAGCGACCTGTGCCTGGTAGTCTGTCAAAATGTTCTGACCTGTGCCCGGTAGCCTGTCAAAATGTTCTGACCTGTGCCCAGTAGTCTGTCAAAATGTTCTGACCTGTACCCAGTAGTCTGTCAAAATGTTCTGACCTGTGCCTGGTAGTCTGTCAAAATGTTCTGACCTGTGCCCAGGAGTCTGTCAAAATGTTCTGACCTGTGCCCGGTAGTCTGTCAAAATGTTCTGACCTGTGCCCAGTAGTCTGTCAAAATGTTCTGACCTGTGCCCGGTAGTCTGTCAAAATGTCCTGGCCTGTGCCCGGTAGTCTGTCAAAATGTCCTGGCCTGTGCCCGGTGGTCTGTCAAAATGTATGGGCTTAGCATTACATGCCTACCATGAAAAGGGTCTTTACGAACTTCACTATTTTCAGCTTTGTCCACATTCATTCATTAATATGATTTTGTTTTACAGGTGGCTTTCTTTATGTTGATGAGATACTAAAGCACAAACAATTTTGCTCGGCCTCTCTAGAGGATATCAAACATGTTGTAGAAAGCAATGACAAAAAACGATTTGCTCTGGAAACTGAAGCTGCGACAGGACGGCTGAAAATTAGGGCAAATCAGGGCCACAGTTTAGAGGTAAGTTGAGTATAGGACCCTAAAGTATTGAGGTGTATTGGGTATATAGGGCTAGACCTCTATTTTATAGACCAATCTGCACTTGCTGGTTGATGTGGTCAGCATCACACCGGCCGCCTTTACTTCCCAGTACTGCACCTGGTACCCACTCAAGGCTGGGTCAACCTGGGAGCCATGGTCTTATTCAAAATAGTTCACCTCCATCAGGACCTGAACCAACGACCTTTCGATTTGCAGGCAAGTGTCTAGACTCTACACTACATGACTTCCACAGTTTAGAGGTAGTTAATCATTATCAGGTTGTTTTTGATCTTCTTCTTTCTTCATTTTTTTTTTTTTCCACATGGGGTTGCTACCTGAAGGTTTGACCATCCCTGAAATTAAACAATCTGTCTGGATTGCAGACCAACATGACCAATTCAAGAAACCCTGTTCAACCTCTAAAGAAGTTTTAATTGGGACATTCATGACAGCTACACCAGCCTGATGTAACCAGCAGTCCTATATTTTCAGTTTTTTTTTTTTAATAAGTAAATGTGTCACTTTTGTTTTACATTTCTTTAATTTTTAAACGATTCCAGGTTAGTGACCTTGACCTTAAGCCAGTTACAGAAGCCAGTGATTACCCCGTAGTTATCCATGGTACTAACTATACAGCATACAGATCCATAGCTACACAGGTGAGTTGGTATCACGTGATATTTGCGATGTTACTTTTTTTTAGTATCACCCATCCATTACCAGGTGGATGAGAGACCAAGGATGCTGGGCTGGATTCTGTCCATGATATTGTAAGGATCGCACAGGATAGAACGGAATGGAGGAATAGACAGTGAGCTGTATGGGACAGATAATGGCACAATAGGACAATTAAATGTTACCAGGGTCTACAAGAGAAGCAAAGGATGGTAATACTGCTGCTTACCATGCTGGTCATAAAAGAAAGAGTTTTGGCACAGGACTGTTTACTGCATCCCATTGACAACTTAATATAGTAATATATAAAGGCAGAAAGTCAGACCCCTTTCAAAAATATCTAATTTAAAGCAAGGTGATGCTCTGTATTCACTTCTTTTTAACTTGGCCCTGGAGAAATTTATAAAGAAAATGAAACAAGAGTATACTGTATGAGAATCTACAAGAATACTTGTATATGCTGATGACATTGATGTCGTTGGAGAAAATCAACTAAAGACTGTTAAAACACTTATTCTCTTAAAAGAATCAGCTCAGAAAATGGGACTAGTTGTCAATAAAGATAAGACAGAATTCAAGATAATAACCAGACAGGGAAAGATATAAACTTCGGCCATATACAAGTCGACAATATGAAAATCAAACGAAGGGAAAGCTTTGCTACCAACAGTCTCCTGTTATATTTGTGGTCTGGTTCATTTGTGCAACCTGTGTAGCTGAGATAGTGGTATGTGCACCAGCTCTCTGGCTTTAAGGCCCTAACCTAATATATAGACCGATGCTTTCTGTCTTGTCCCTTTTGTTTTTAATATCCGTATACTTTTCTTCCTGAGTCGTCCTTAGGCTGGTTCCATCTCCTTAATATCTTGCCCTTGTGTCATCTGTTTCCTTCTATTTTGGCCAGGTGTATCTCATAAGAAAATGAGCTTGTTTGCACCTATTTCTAACATGATGGCCTTTCAGACCACCATTTATAGTTTTTAAATGTTGAGGTATTTATCTTGCCTAAATTACTGAAAACAGTTTTTGGGTTTGGATAGTTCCAAAATTGTGAAAATATTTTGCATGTGACCAAAGCATTCTTACAGATGTAGTACTAGAGTTCAGTTTTTGTGATGGATGGTTTATTAGAATGATTACCCATGTTCTTGGGTTTTTGGGGGGACACTGGTGCAAGATTTGTACTGTGGAAGAGATTGCCACCTCACCATATAATACAACCAAATAGAGCAATGGGATACTGCAGCCAACATTCATTGTACCGATGGCATGCTAATTTTTTGTTTGTTCACTTTCACCAGGTTTAACTGTGGAAACTTTGATTTGATTCATTACAGGGTCTGAAAACAATGGGCAGAAATCACATTCACTTTGCAGCTGGTGAACCAGGAGAGAATGGAGTTATCAGTGGTAATGAAACAATTATTTGAGTCAGTTATTATAAGTAATATACTTGTAATAGTTATCATTTGTTTAGCTTCATGGCTTAGAGGTTGATGAATGCATTTAACAGTTTGATGATCTGTGAGTACCAGGACTTAATTTTTTTTGCAGCAGATTGTTAATACGTGTATGTGTGTGTAGCGGTGGCAGTGGTGGTGGTAGGGGGTGGTTTGGACAAAAGTGTGAGAGTCGTACAGGACTAGGAGTGGTTGATGCTTTACCACATAATATTCTGAAAGAAACCAATACATTATTTGCAAGTCCTTTACAGTACATTGACAGTATATTTTTTCAGGCAAATTTATGTTCCGTAGTTTGCCATTGCTTCCTGAACGGTCGGTTCTCAATAGCTCTGTCACAATTAACACAAAGCACTCTGCTACCAAATCGCCTGCAGCTGGGACCGAACCCTGGCCTTTCAAAGCGCAAGCCACATAAAAGTATTTATTTAATATTACATTCATATCTATCCCACATATTACCAAAAAATCCAGAATATTATTTACTTTTGAAATAGAAAATAATGTAACCTTACAATTTTTAGATACAAAAGTTGAATGAGATAGTAAAAACTTGAGGTTTACAGTGCATGAAAAGCAACTTACATCATTCACAGTTCACAGACAATTAAACCATTTTCACTGAAAACCAAGACGTGTATTGTTTAAGAGCATCATAGACAGCTTTGGAAAAACTACAAGAAACATTAGAAGTTTTTTTTTTTTTGGTGGGCGGTGGCTACCAGGAAAATTATAAGAAAGCTATGAAAAGCAATGATGAGAGTTGCAACAAACCCAGATTATAAGATGTTTGTAATTAAAATCTCACATTATTACCATTCATTTTATTTAACAGGGATGAGAGGAACCTGTACAGTTATGATTTATCTGAATCTGTCAAAAGCTCTTCAAGGTAACGTATTCTTCAACCTTATAACTGTATCATATCATAAAATGTACACCTGCATTTCTTCTTCTCACCTGCTGTAAACTGGGGCAGAAAGTTCAATATCATGGATGGAATCTGGTCCAGTACCTTTGGCTTCTCTCATAACCTTCTTTTTAGGGTTTCTTTGGGTGATCTCTCTTCCTCAGTCCATTTATTTCTCATTTTTATGCCTGTTTATTGATTCTCTGCTTGTTTCTTCAGGATGTGCCCAATACGGCGCCATCTTCTTTGTCTTTTAAGTGTTGTTACCAGTGGTTGCCCACACATCTCTCTTGTTTCTTTAGTCCTCTTTAATTCATCCCAACAGGCGTCACTGGGATTTAAAATATTTGTAAGTAATGCCTAGTTCTCATTATCTGATACTGAAGTAGGCTGTGTCTTGATTGTTTGTACACATAATTTTGTATGTACATTAGAAAAGTTGTTATTATTAAAAATGATATTGTAATTTATTGCAATGTTTAATTTTTGAAGGCTTGGTATAAACATCAAATGAAGATGAAATATGTTTGCAGATGGTCTTAAATTTTTCCTGTCGGCCAATGGTGTGATTCTGAGTCCTGGTAACGAGGATGGAGTAATTCAGACCATTTATTTTGACAAAGTTATTGACAGGAAAACAGGGTCATTGGTATGTTTTTGCTATTGAAATGTTTCTTTATCTTGATGGATGTGAGGTCAGAAAATACTCTAAAAATAATTCATATTGTTTATCTCAATCAAGTGCGTAAGATAATTCATTTTGGATAAGCAGAGAGCTAGCAACAAAATTGTTAAGAAAATATTTATCCTATGCCTGAGTATGTTTTGTTGTAATTCAGTTGTAATTCTCTGACGTCAAAATAATTGTTTGTTTCATGTGTTACTTGTTTCATTATTTCTATTTTATGTTTGCTGCTAAAGATTATAATGAGAATATTTTGTTTGTGTGTGTGTTTTATGTTTGTGAAATTCCTCAGGGCATATAAAATGTTAGTCAGCATTCTGTCATTTAAGTCATATTGATTTTTGAAATAGAAATCCTAGTTGACTGGAATTTGGATATACATACAGTGTATGTTATTGGGAGCTTTTTAAAATAGAGATCCTACTGGATTGGAATTTAGATATATATACAGTGTATGTTATTGGGAACTGCGATAATGTAGTAGCTAGACGTTCACTTGGGTTCAGATCTGCTTTGAGCTGGATTTTTTTTAAATGACTTTTGGCTGCCAGGTCAGCTCAGCCTAAAATGGGTACCAGGAAGTGTCTGAGAAAATAAAGGTGGTCATGTTAGTGTTGACTACATCTTCCACCAAGTGCCAGTTAGCCTACCGAAATATGAGTATAGCATCATTTGCCCAGTGCACCTCTGGCATAAAAGTGGTTCCTTTACTTTACTTATTGTCTATTATTTTTTTTTTTTCTGATTTGCTTCTCATCTATTTAACAAAATTAAATATTCATATAGTGCTTTCCACCTTCAAAATGAGGACCTAAATAAATAAGTTACTAATTGTTTTTGCTTAAGATGTTTGTCTTTCTGAGTTACTCATGCTACAAATGTTAAAGTACTGATGCTGTTGCTGGTGTATTGGTACCTTCTTCTTCTTCTTCAGCATTCCAAAACTTGGAGATTCATTCCTGGAGATATCATCCTCCTCCGTTTATCTCTTTGGTTGGCCTTTTCTTTCCTGTTGGTGACGCCAAGCGTTGGGAGGTCTGTCTGGATGTTATCTCTCCATCGTCTTCCTGGTCTGCTTTGTGTATTAGTAACTGTGTTGTAAATATATCATTGTTTCTGAATCTGTGTCTTCATATTTGTCTCTGCTGTCCTTATGTCATGCTCTTTTAGTCTTTGCTTCTTTACTGTAATTATAAATATGTCTACTAGGTAACAATTTATATAGCAACAAATATCTGTTGTCTTTTTATGGATGATTATATAGTTTTCTGCTTCTTCTTTCAGATATAACTGCACACATGGGCATTTTACCATCTGCTTACCTACTGGACCCCAGTGAGAAATCATCAAAGACTGTAACAGCTAAGGACAATGCTGGAGAGATTCTTCTTCTTCAGTGTTTACACACGGAAAGGCAGTTTTCACAATGTGTTGTGGTTTATAGCTAGGTAACAGTATCTACACCTTTTGGCCCAGAACACTGGATTTCAGCATGCTTGCTAGGGGTCGTTCGGTCTATTCCCCTTCCCCCCCCCCCCTTCCCCAAAGTGGGGCCCTGGAACCAACACCAGGAACTGGAGAGTTTGATTTAAGACAGTTAAAAATACAAAGAAAACGAGAACTCAGGATTAATAGAGGCTACTACTATATTAGCATATTATTGTTACCTTTGTTCTGATGATTTTTATGATACAAATGCACACACACAGAAATACATCTACCAACACAGATATCCACACACACACAGAGAAATACATCTACTAACACACATATCCACACACACACACAGAGAAATACATCTACCAACACATATATCCACACACACACAGAGAAATACATCTACCAACACACATATCCACACACACACAGAGAAATACATCTACCAACACACATATCCACACACACACACACAGAGAAATACATCTACCAACACACATATCCACACACACACAGAGAAATACATCTACCAACACACATATCCACACACACACACAGAGAAATACATCTTCTAACACACATATCCACACACACACAGAGAAATACATCTACTAACACACATATCCACACACACACACAGAGACATACATCTACCAACACATATATCCACACACACACAGAGAAATACATCTACCAACACACATATCCACACACACACACACAGAAATACATCTACCAACACACATATCCACACACACACACAGAGAAATACATCTACCAACACACATATCCACACACACACACAGAGAAATACATCTACCAACACACATATCCACACACACACACAGAAATACATCTACCAACACACATATCCACACACAGAGAAATACATCTACCAACACACATATCCACACACACACACACAGAAATACATCTACCAACACACATATCCACACACACACAGAAAAATACATCTACCAACACACATATCCACACACACACAGAGAAATACATCTACCAACACACATATCCCCACACACACAGAGAAATACATCTACCAACACACATATCCACACACACACAGAGAAATACATCTACCAACACACATATCCACACACACACAGAGAAATACATCTACCAACTCACATATACACACACACACAGACACCAAACACATGTGATTTTGTTTTGAAATCAATGTTGATTAGATTGATTGGCACCTTTTCGTCTTTCCAGACGATAGTGTTATATTGCGCTATGAGCAGGCATGGGACTCACATCACATGGTGATGGCTAGTGTGACTAGCAAGACCCGCCCACCTTAAGAAAAGTCTTCCACAATTATAGCATGGGATTTCAGGACCGTTGTCAAATTGTGTTTAGTCTGTTTCTTCTCAGATGCTCAGCTATCATCCTTTTTACTGTCATTTCTTCCTTCATTCTTATTCTCTTCTAGATGTGCCCCCTCCCATGAGTCTACCTCAATACCTGTATCAACTCTTGCACACATCTTTATATTGTAGTAGAGGTTCACCCCATCTTTATTTCACCATAGAGGATGTCCTTAGGGACTCTGTCATCCTGCATTCTCCAGGTGTGACCCAGCTAACTGAGCCTTTGTAGAATGAGGATTGAGAAAACATGTAAAAACTGCTCTTTCCAATACCCTAGTGTTTGTAATCTTGTCCTGCCACTTAATGCCAAGTATTGCTCTTAGGTATAGCATGTGAAAGTTATTTAGCTGTTTCTCCTGGTGCGAATGTGGACAAGTTTCACTGCCATAAAGCAGAGTGCTGAAAATCTCTTTTTTGTTTGTTAATCTGCACATTGTTGTAGCTGCCTTGCCTGTCATGATGTTGAAATGGTCAACTGTTTTCAGCTCTTCATCATCAGTGTAGTCTACAGAAACTCTGCTCTGGCTGCTGAAGATGAGGACGTACCATGCAAGGAAATGCCCCGAGTGCTATGATTCAATTCTTGATCCACTCAACTTTTTTTGCTGATTGTTAGTCCAAATTCACAGCATGCATCAGCAAATGCGGTAACAAACATTGCAGCTCCTCTGGGTGGGTGGTAATTACTGAAACATCTGTAAACAGCAGTTGTCTAATAAGTACTGTTCTTGTTCTGGTTTTGGCCATCAGCCTATGTGCATTGTAAAGGCTGCCCTCAGATCAAGAATGCATTAACCTGATTAACAGTGGTGATTAACACGAAAACATTTTGTTTTACCAAATCATCACCGAAGTAATGGCGGTGGCTAATGGGATGCTGACCACATTACCTATTGAGTTCTAATTGGTCTATAAATATGTGTCTAATACCTCATGCCTAATGTGCCACTGACAAAAAATGGGACTTTTACTTGTTCTGAGTCATAAGAACCTTGAAAAGTCATTTATGTTCTGTGAAAAGACTGATATATATATGTATTTCTCCTGCAGTATAGATTTCATCCACCCACACTAGACTGCAGGTTGCTTCATAATCATTTTGTGCACCCCCCCCCCCCCCCCCCACCCCCACACTCCATCCCCACCCCTGCCCCATTCAGTATAATTGCCTTATGGTTAAATATTTTAACAGGGTTACCGGGATGTGTACGTGTTTAACCTTAATGTGTTAATCCGACAGATTGCAATACTGAACGGAATAAACTAAAACAGGATATATTTGTAAATCTATTTTATTTAAATACTTTCAACCATCCTCAACAGTTCCATCAATAAACTTCACAGTTTTCTGCAAGTCCTCCAGTCTTACATACAGTTTATTGATATGTTACTGATGCCTGCCAAATACATTCCTGTTGTCCTTGGAGTGTAGGACAGTCCTGAAGGGTATAAGCAGTTCTTTTGTCTATGCCACATGATTATTGAAAGCTATAAGAGTGTAGCAGCTAGACACTCGCCAGCCCTCCCAAAGATTTTAGGTTCAGATCCGCATTGAGACATATTTTTTTTTTTCAGAACTAACCTTGGCCTCCTGATTGACCCATCCTAAAATAGAAACTGGTAATGTCTTGAGAGGTAAAGGTGGCCGTGTGATGTTTGACACATCACCCACCCAGTGGCAGTTGCTATATCAAACAGCCTAACATCGTATGCTCCACTGTTGTAAAAAATTGGTCCTTTACCTTCTGAAGGGTCATTCATCCACATACCAGTGTTTTATATGTTAAAGAGCTGATACCTAAGTCCGTTGTGTCTTGTGCAAAGTTTTAATACTGTTATTTATTCTTTACTGTAAATGTCATTGTATTAATCGTTGTGTTATCTTGGATGTGCATGTTTTTAATTGATTTTATGATTGCAGAATTGAATAAAGTATTTAATGAATCACAGCTTTTTGTTTTACATTCTGAATGACATTTCAGAATACATTAACCTTTAAAAATAAAATTTTAAGATCCTATGATTATTAACACTAGTTTTGCAGATGAAGTTGAAAATTGATTTGAAACAGGTTGCAGAATAGCTGACCAGCAGTAACAAGTCTTGGAAACTAAATTACTTTGAACCGATCAAATGTTGCAGTGGTTTTTGTATGAACGGTAAAGGAAAATGTGGTTTGGGAAGCTGAGAGTGGCCGATGATGGACACAGGGATTGAGGAAAGGGTGACTTTGAGAAGAAAAGAGCCATCCAGTTCATCAGGAGTAAACAGAATCTGGACAGAGATGACTACAACTTACTTGACGGGCATGGGCAGGTCATTATTCTATGCGAAGTTGAAACCGACTATAACTGCTCAGTGAGCAGTTAACATCAGGTGACCTTAAGTGTCACTATTTGGAGGAGAGTCCCCTAGGTTTCAATCCCAGAAACTCTGTCCAACCGTAAGGTTATTTTGAGGCCGCCCACGTTTACAATGTAACATGAAGTCCAGACAGGACGCATATCTAACTGTGATAGCTTATGTCACGATACGATCTCAGTGATTCCAGAAGTTAGTACTTGTAATAAGTTCTTCTGGTTATTGAGAGACAAGAGACTATGCCCTTAAACCAAATGTTACTTTAAACCGTATTGATTTAAATGTTTCCAGTCCTTAGTCCAGACAAAGTGACTGAGTCTTGTTTAATGTTACGCAATTACACTGGGGCTAGAGAATTTCCTTTCTCATGCCAGTGTCAGAATGTTATCTCCTGACCACAGACTGTAGAGGCCAGCGAACGGGGAACTTAGCATCACACCTGAGCTGGACCGTAGGTCATAAAAGATTACCTAACACGAATTGAGCGGACTGTAGACATAGAGGCGACGAGAAGTTTAAAGTTTAACACGTCAGTGTAATTCTGGGGAGAACAGGTGTTTGGCAATTAGGAATGTTTTATCTTGGTCAAGGTCGTACTGTAGGCCGTTCACTGTGAGTGACAGGTCACTGGTTAGCCAATTTGATTTGATAGGTACTTCAGAGGCGGAGCTTAAGCCATCATCTTGAGGGTTGGGTAAAAACTAAGTAAAGGGAGGAGTTTAATTTGGACAATAGATTGATACTTATACTTCGAGCCTGTGGAATTCCCGTCATTAATCGCAGCCTGCCGGCAAACAAACACAGGGCGACGTAAAAGTATTTTACGGTCGCATTCTGTTTTGGCGATTAATGGAAAGTTCCCAGGTAAGAGAAAATATTAATTTTAATCTTGTATACTTAGGTTAGGGAGTGAAGCTTTTAGTCTATACTACCTTTTCCTAATTTGTCTGCACATTCTGCTTGAAATAGTTCTTGGTGAGTATTCAGTATCTCAGTTAGGGAACTGCTAAACTATTCCTATTTCTTGTATGTTTGTGTCACATGTTTTTCATTGTGTGTTTTCATGTGTATAAAATAAGATGTGAACAATGACATTTGCTATAATGAAATGTAATTATATTGTTTCCATAATCAGCCAAAATATGAGTTGGGACTGTGGGAAATGATGCCCTAATATGTGCAGGGATGCTGCTACGTTTTGTGTGCCCACCATGTGCTCACTTAATGTGTTCACCTGAACAGGGGATTTATAACCTCAGGGGAAGGATGATGGGTGTATAGAATTCACGGTCACTGAAAGATAATATTCAGGACAGCGTGCACATATAAATTGTTTGCGGGTTCAGCACATAACCTGCGCCACATGTTTATGTCAAATCTATGTCAGCCAATTCGAAGTCTGAGTGAAGACGGACAACAGACTTAGAAAGTCAACTATCATGACATAGCATTTGAGGGAAGGCAGGATATGTGACGCCCATGTAAGACAAAAGACCTTCAGACTAGACTGGAGAGGATGTGGAATATGAGGAGGAGTGATGGGCTATATCTTATTATTATATGTTGTATTAATTGATACATGTATTCTTAGTGTAAGTCAAGATACTACACGTATGTGTTTTGTTTCCATGATTACAGCGCCCATGTGACGATCAGTCCATGAAGTAGACTACATTGTGTTAGACTCGGCCAGCTGGGAACCAGGTGGAGAACGAGGTGGAGAACGATGTGGAGAACGAGGAGGGGATGAAGTGGAGAATAAGCTGAAACAGGCAGAAAACAGGCAAGGAAGAGTTGGACAAGCTTGACAGTTCCTCACGGCTGTCAGGTTTAATCAACTTCGCTAGAGAGCCGGGCGTCAGAGGCTTATAAGCTAAGTTAACATCTTTTAAGTTAATATTACCAGCATTATCATACCACTCTAAACCCCGAGCTGTTTGTCTCGCTGAAGCTTATCACTTATCATCAAATTAACCAGTCACTGTTTGTGTAAATCAACAAACTGGTAATTTCATTGTAGTAAATAAAGCTGTATGTCAAGTTTTAAACTACATAGTTTGTTAAATTCCAAATGTCTGTTCTTACATGTTTAATTAAACTGTTAGGATAGAATACCATTTGGTGGGGGCTCAAATAATAGAATAATTCTTTAATTATTCATAATAACACCGGGAGAAGGTAGATGACGGAGGAATCATTTGCCCTGTCTAATAAATAATTAAATATAATGCTATAGACATCTAAAATTCCTTGCCTTCTCTTGTGGGTACCAAGTGCAGCTAATGTTAAAGTACTTAACGAGCCAATATGGTTGTTTTCTTGGGTATCCAGGACTTTGTCTGAGAGCAACATAGCTCAGATTTTAGTTCCGTTAATCTGGTGGAGGGAATGTGTTGAGAGGAACATCCCTACTCAACATTTAAACATTTAAACCACCCGTCACGTCACAGCTTAGTGCAGCGGTTCTCAACTTTCCTTGTGCGGCAACCCTTTAATACAGTTCCTCATGTTATGGCCGCCCTAACCATACAATTATTTTCATTGCTACTTCATATCTTTAGTGCATATGTGACTTCTGATGGTCTTTGGCAACACCTGCGAAAGGTTTGTTCGACTCACAAAAGAGTCGTGACCCACTGGTTGAGAACTGCTGGCTTAGTGCTTAGTCAGCGTCTATGGCTTCGGTGTTGTGAACATGCTTTGTAATTCCGAAGTCCCCATTTTGATTCCAGCTGCAGGCGATTTATCAGCAGACTGCTTAAGTTTAATTTCAGCAATGGTGTCTAGAGTCAACCGTTAAGAAGCAATGCTAAAATAATGAACGTAAAACTGCAGAGGTAAATAGCAACAACAACAAAAGCTGGGGTTGGCTCTGCAGCGACATGTAAATCAAGATACTGTAGCTAGTTGGCCATGACACACTGTTGGGCCACAGGTCATCATCTTCAAGTGCCTTGCCAGCTAGTGTAGATGTTTGTGCATCTCCACAGATCTCTGTCTTTGGTGTTCTGAAACAATTCCACTGATGATATTCCTCAATGCTATGTCTTAAGCCATCCACCATCATTTCTCTTAGTCTGCCATTGCCTCTTCTACTAGCGATCTTTCCAGTCATCACGATATTTTCCAGTGCTCCTTTTTGCATCGCATGACCAAATAATTTTGTTCGTCTCCTTCTCATTGTTGTATATAATGTTCTACTTTCATTAGCCATTTCCAGGCAATCACTTCTGGTTATTCTGGCAGTCCAAAGTATTGGCAACATTCTTCTCAACTAATTTTGTGCGCCACCAAGATTGTTTGTCTTACCATGTAATGGGGTAGGGTTTGTAGTTTTTTTTCTCTCCCATGAGTGCAGGCTGTAGAATTAACACAGCAAGGATGATAAAACAAAACAGGTAAACATCTTGAAAACTATTAACAACATAAATTTACTTGAGTTGAGTTGATTCAAGAACAAACATCACAGCACTCGGGGCATTCCCATAAGCACTCCGTCCCACATTTTAATCAGCTACCGCAAAGTTCCAATACCAATGGTGCCAGTAGCCTTCTGATTAAACGTCCACCTTGTCTTTCCTCTGAGCGTTGATCATCGGCCAGAACCCTTCGTCACACCCCGTTGTATCGGACTGGTGATCCATTTGCTCCTCTGAATTATACACTCTTTCCCACGTGGCCCTAACCACGTCCGCCTTATCATGCATTAGTATTCCAAAAAGCTGTGCAGAGCCTGTCCACCTGTTAATTTCCCAACACACTGGCGTGTCTCTGAGATAAGATCCAGACAATACTCCTCACCCGTGACCTCCGCAGTGAAGCATGACACTCTGCACAACATGCCTATCCTAAACATATATATACAAAAAATTATAATCCATAAACTTACTTGTCTCTTGGCAGCAGCCTATGCTATCGCATTGGCTTGTTGAATTAAGAATTGACATCACAGCAATTGGGACACCACCATAAGCGCTCCATCCCCATCTTCAACAGCCAGCAAAGAGTTCCAGTTCTGATGGTACCAGTAACTGCCTGATTGCATATCCGCCTCGCTCTTCTCTTGAATGTTGAGCATTGGCCAGATCCCCTGGTAGTTCCCCACAGCGCCATTCTCCTCCGACCTTTATAATCTATTTGTGCCTCCTCACTGTTGACTCGCTCCCAAAGGACCCTCACAACATCTATCTTGTCATACATCATTTCACCACCAAGTGGTGCAGAACTAGCTAGTCTCTCTGCCTGCTCATTTCCCAACACACCAGCATAATCTGGAGAAAATAACAAAAGGATGCTATCTAACTATCGCATTAGCTGAAAATGTTAAGTCTGTAACATACAGTTTAACACAATTAAAGCTGTCAACATTTGTTTTTGTTTCTGCCTCTGTTAGCTTTTAGACGAGCCTAGAGGCAGAGCATGGGGCGTCTGACTGACTGACTGACTTTCTACCCCACTAGGACATCACACAAGCGACAAACACCCAATGACACAAAGTGCCACCACGTGGATGAGGATCACCGTGGAGAGGTCCCAGAAACCGCGTTCAGACAATTGGCCAAATTTATGGCCTGCCTATATTGCGGCCCCTAGCAAAAGCCAGAGTGGGGCTTCAAATAACAAAAAATTACGTCCTGAAAGGGACGTCGTGCGGGCTACACCGAGTGTCACCACTGCACTGGTATGGGGGACAGGTGACAAAATGGTTTTTGTTTTGAATGTGTTCTCAACATTAAAAAATGTGTGTGTGTGTGTGCCTGCGTGCGTGTTGGGAGGGGGAGGTCACCAGACATTTTCCCCACCTACACCGCTGGGTGAGGTGCAAAACAAGTCACCCTGTTTTAGTGGGCCATGGGTGTGTAAAGGTTGAAGAACTCTGCACACGCAGCATACCTTTCGCTCCACTAAGGGCAGCTACTCTGATAACTGAACTACTGCTGATGTACACAACTCCAGTCACAAATTGATGGACTTATGTGACACTATTAATATTATTGCTTACTACTGGTATAAGCAAATATGAGGCCTGATGAACACAAGAAGAAGAAAAACACTGCTTACAAGAAAAAGCATGGTATAAAAGACGCAGGTGACAAGAAAGATGAAAAAACAAAGAAGGATAAATCAACAGCTGAGAGTAAACAGGAGCGGCAGACGAAGCATGGAAGAGAAACAAAAACACATATCCCCAGTCATCAGATTCGGTGTCTGGTTCTCGTCGACACGGGGCAAAAGATTTAACAGCTGCAAAAGCAGAAAACAGTTCATCTAACGTTAGTTCATCGGATTCAGAGGTAAGCAGGACAGACTCTCAGTGTTTGTCGTGGCAAGATCGATTTCTTAGAACTTCCATTGATAGGCAAAGAACAGGATTTGTGAACAATTTAATTTTTAGTTTGGTGAAAAGAGTATTATGTCAGCAAAGATGAAAAGAGCCATTGAAAGACTTATAAAGTAGAAGGATTCATGGCTTGTGAAATCGAGTGCTGAATACTACTATAGTATAGTCTATTTATATATATATATATAAGTGCATGAGGTATTCATTTGAAAGATTTAATGCAGTATAGATGCAGTACAGTGGTGTGGTATCCATATAGAACAGTTTAAGCAGTGCTTGCATTTAAAATATGATTCAGATAAATTTTTTATATTTATATAGTGGAGTGAAAATACAGAAATGAAAGTTCTACAGTAAATTGTAAATCTTCCAAAAATATCAGGAAATAGCATGGAACCAGTGCAGAACAAATTCAATAAACAGAAGATCAACTGGTCCAGACATGTTTTAAGATTGCCGCAGCACAGTGCACCCTGTAACTTTGTAGACACAGTGGAAGCATAACTAGAGGCCATTCATGCAAGTGATGGAATGTCAGATGCTGGGATTGCCAGCGTCTGTAAAGCATATCCTTGGCTTGCACCAGATGCCTATTCAAAACCTCACACTGAAAGGCAGCAAAAGAGACTAGGGAAATGGAAAGAAAAATCAGAAATAAAATACAATGCAGTTTTTGTTGAATATTTAGTGGATGAGACACCACACTATGATCAGCCCTAAACAAAACTTTTGAAGTGGATTGAGATTGTGTGTGTGCCATCAAACTTTGCATACACAGTCATGCCTTATCAAGCAGTACAAGTTTTAATCTACTTTGTAAGCAGTCTAGCTGACACAGTTGCAAGTTTTTTGTTTTGTGTTCAATATTTTAGTGATAGCTTCATGTGCGGAAATGTCTTTATCAACTGGTGATGACTGCGGTATACCTGGGATCTGGTATTTACGTACACCGGAGCCTAGCTACAGACACAATCAGAATACACTATAACAAATGACGGATAGAATCATTGTGAGGCTTCACCCAACATTTCACACACATCTCCATGACATGATTAACCTGTTCTTATCGCAGGAAGAGCACGTATGGAAATGCCCCAAATGCTGTGATGTCAATTCTTGACTTAACTAACTATCGCAGGAAGACAACTATGGTCACACACGGAATATTTTCACATTTCAGGTCTATCCAAACCCAAAAACTGTTTTCAGTACTTTTTGGCAAAGTAAAATACTCACAATTTTAAAACTATAAATGGTGGTCCAAAGGACGTTATCTTGAGAAGCTCGCTCTCCTACAATATATGCCTTGCCAAGTCAGAAGGAGCTGAAACCAAGGAGAAAACATCAGAAATAAAAGGGCAAGAAGACACAGTTGACAACAGGATAGAGAATAAGCGGTCTGCCTTGGAGGAAAGAAGCATTTCCAGAGACGGCGCAAATACCAGACTTTAGCCACGAAAGTGGTGCAAATAAACAAGACCACAAATATAGCCGGAGACTGTTGGCAGCTTTGGCTAGTTAGCAGAAGGTTGAACGTTTTATATTAAGGTGATGACTACAGTTATGTGATTGAATTCTTACTGACGGTAAATGGTTTAGTTATATAACTTTTCACAGAAATCTATTGGCTCTGGCAGTTGGCGTTGGTGGGGAGGCATCTGCTACCAGGATTACTTAGATTTGAAAATAAGTAGGCCCTGCCAGTGGTACCTGAGCAGCTTATATGTCAAACAACTCCCATACTTCCAGTCTAATTCATTGGCAGATGGGTTGATACCAAGCAGCCTGGTTTTTATGAAGAGTCATTGTTAAACAGTATGGTACACAAGGAGGTTGAATGGTCGTAGACCATGAAGCAGACCAAGATGATGGATGGGGAGACAATATACAGGCAGAACTGAGAACACTTGGAGTCACCAACTGGGAAAAGAAAACTAATCAAAGAGATGAATGAAGGCTGGTGATTTCTGCATCAGTGATCCTCATTGGCTTATAATGTTGAAGAAGTAAAAGAAGAAACTGTTAAATAACAGCTGTGAAGTGTTTAATATGTTGATGAAACCCTTTTTTTTAAATAAACACTAAAATGTCTGTGATAATTATATTCCAGAGTGAAGATGCAGCTAGTAGTAGAAAAACGCCTTCCAAAATATTTAGAAGGCGCCAGATTGTCAGCAATTGGCAGAAGTATGAGCTGCCACCAGATACAGAGGAGAAGATTTCAGCAAGGGGCAGAGAAGTATGAAAAACTACTTAGCATGACAGGTAAAGGGTCTTAGTTGATAAGATATTAAGATTAAGAATAAACAAAGTATTTGCTAACTTAACATATATGGAAGTCAGAAGCACTTAGTTTGAAGACAAAACTTAGATTTTACAAAAGCATGATTTTAGACATACTGTCATACAATAGTGAGTCTTGAAAAAATACAAAAGGAATTACACATAAACTGGAGTCTTTACATACTAAAGTCCAAGAGGAATGCTGTGAATATTTTGACCCAGAAGGATCACAAATTAAGAACTGAGAAGGAAAACAAAATGTTCATCACTGCCAAAACGTTTTCAAAGGATGGAGAGGGCTTGGATATGTTTGCAGTGTCTTGTGACACTTTGGCAAGAACAGGTAGGATGGATGGAAGAATGAAAAAAAGAGATGTAGATGACCTAAGGAAATGTGAACAATACAAAGGGACATGAAGGAATGTAAAGTGAACTGGAAAACCGTTGGCAGAAAAGCAGTAGACAAGCACCATTGGGGATTGCTTGTGAATGCCTTATGCGTCAATAGCCACATGAGAAGGGATATAAAAGATATAGATGTAGATTCTAAAGAAACAGTGTTTACTTCCCAGAACATTTTCTATTACCATGGTCAGTTTTTAAAAACCTCAACTGTGATATAGATCAAGAACATATGACTGTCAGGCTGACAAGCTGCTATACAAACACCGCTCCAATGATAACTGTATTTCCTTAATTATTGTTTGTTATTGTATTGTTTAGAGCATTATTGATAATCTTTATCTTGGGAGCCACCTGCGGATCTGAAGGTCATTCATTCTACATCATTTATTTCTTCTTCTCTTCTCTTCTTAGCGTTCACTGGCTGTAAATTCCAATGGAAAGCTCTGGCTGTTCATCCACTTCTGGATTTTAGCTTCTATATAGTACTTGAGCTTTGCAATAACATCCATTTAATAGTTCTGGCTTATTTGTATGCAGTTAAATCCTCGCCTCTCAGATGCACTCAAACTACAAAGAAAAATCCCCTAATTTGTTGTCACTTACAACATGTTTGTTAGGTGAGCAGTAGGTCTATAACCCTTCCCACTATCTTTTCTTTTATTTGTATTCTGCTTTGTGCCACTAGCCATCACAGATTAACAGATAATTGATATCTAGGGCATGCTCAGCTGCCCGGTATGTTGTGGAATCTCAAGGTATCAGTGTGACTCCTTCAAACCATCTTATTGTTCGTCCCCTATCTCTTGGTGTTTCTACTTCTATGCTGAATGCTTTCATTGCTGGCATCATTGCATTCATTCCTGTTAAATGACCAAACCATTTCAGTCTTAGTTTTTCAAACCATTCTGTACAGCCCCAAAAGTGTTAAGTACAGGCAGTAACAACTAGACTCAGTATATACTTTCTGTTTTTTGAAACCTGCATATACTTATACATTTCACAAAAACAGTATCTAATTTCAGTTTCCTTATTGTATAAAATACGTTTGTTTTAGGTGAGGCGATCTCTCACTTCCGCTTCAAGGATGAACTTGTTTGGGATGATCCAGGAGAAGCAACTCATGATTCCAGCAATGATGCCTATTGTGAGGTTTCTGTCAGTGAACCCCACAGAGCTAGCGCAGTCTCTAGCATGTCTACCAGTTCATCACATTCTTGGCATCAGCTCCAGTGTTTTTCCTGTAAGTTGCCTAGTGCTAAACATCAATGTGTTGTTTATACCAGTGTTTCCCAAACTTTTCTTGGTCGCAGCTCCTTTTTTTTTCCAGTTACAATTTTTCCTTCGGCGCCCTAACCTAAGTAAAAATATGACTATTCATAAGTATGAGATAAAAACAAATCACACCCTTGTGGATATTGTTAGCTTCTCACGTTGTTGTTTGTTAGGCAAATGTTTAATTATGAAGTTTCTCTTACAATATTTTCGTGGCAGTTTGTGAAGTGTCCCAGGATGCCCCGACGTACAGTTATGGAACCACTGCTTTTTACCAAGAATTGTATAGCTCAGATTTTCTGTGCACAAATGTTGCCTGTGGAAATTGTACGACTTTCTTTGTCATTGCACATTTTAAATGGCAGTTTTATAGTGTCAGAACTGCAGTAGTGCAGTCTCCTTCTTCTTATTAGTGTAAACTTTGTTGGTTCTTCCACTTCTGACTTCGATCTTGTTCCAGACCTTAAATTTTGTGAGTATATCCATTTTAAAATCTGGCTTATTTGTATCACTTGCCTTTTACAACATGCTTGTTAGGTGGGTGGCATGTCTTTTCTTATTTTCTCCAAAACGTTGCCTTGGAACTTCACATGGAAGTAGTGCAGTGTCTGGTATGCTTGGTTTCTGGGACCCATTGGGGAAAAGGGGGTGGATTAGACCCACTGCCTCCTCTAACAATCTATCATGAAAGGTGACCGATTCGGTTTTTTCCGAAATCAGGTGTGTTTTTAGTACAAGCTAAAACAGTAGAACTCTTCAGGTATATGACAACAGGATCATGAGTGCCAGAGATTAATGTTGCAGCCTAAGAGCAATCATCATCATCTAAAGTGCCAACTGGCATGGGTGACATGCTTTCACACATTGTGCAATCTCCAACAGAATATTGACACCCTTCTTTGCCGTGAGAGAAAGTTGTCAAGAATGTTCTCTTGTTGTCTTCCTCAGTCTCTTTTTGCAGTTGTCACAGCATGTTCCATTTTTCTCTTCTCACAACATAGATCAAAATTACTGCCTCCTTTTTATGTTTCTCTGATATTGTCTTTTGGTCAGTCTTTTTCAGACCATCAGGGTTACTCTTTTTTTGAACGTCCAAGGAATTTTAAGCCTTCGGCATACAAAAAACAAACAATTAAAAAATTACACTTAAGCAGGCAAATTAAAACAATAGAAAAATGTCTTAACTCTTTTCAGGAATCATTATAATATGTTTAGGGGAACTTAAATAAAACTGTTTTTTACTGAATAGTAATGTGAATTTATGAAAACATATACTGTTTTATACCTTTGCAGGATGAGCAGTTAACATCAATGATTGACACGGCCAAGACAATACGATCTCACTATATAACAGACACAACAAAGGAGACTACAGGATTCGCTGTCCATTCTGACAAGAATGAAACTGATGAACTTTCAACAAACTCACCTCTTCCCTCATCACCAGAACATGATAAAGACACTCCAGAAGTCACTACATCAAAAAATACACAATTAATATTAACAAACACATCGGTTTTTTCACATGCTTCTTCAGTGTATGTACGGTCTTATCCATCTGATACAAATACTGGTTTTAACACTGACGTTGTTGGTCAAGAGAATTGTAAAGGCAAGTCTGATATTTCATCAAAGCATCCTGTGGATAAACTTCAGTTACAAGATGATGATTTGGATGTACTACTGAACACAAACGGTCCATCAGACGTCCACAGTGGTGATGGATCAAGTATTCAGCCCAGAAAAGCTGAGGGAGATTCCAGTAAGTTGTGCCTATTTATTCCTCACCTTCACTCTCTCCTTCACATCCAAAAAATCTCTGCTTGCTTATTGTTTCCCTACCTTTCAAATATTTTTTGTTTTTAAATTAACTGTCAGCGTGCATTATATGTGTGTCTTGTTTTGTTACTTTGTTTTATTTCACTCTTTCTCTGTCAAATAGTTGTTACTCCCTCAGTACTGTCCCAAATTTGGATCGGAAGGTCATGGCATCAGGTCCTGATGATGCCGAACTTTAACAAAAATGATCTTGACTTCCAGGTCGACTCAGCCTTGAGTGGGTACCAGGAGTAGCCCTTGGAAGTAAAGATGGCTGTCGTGATGCTGACTACATCACCCATCAAATGCTGATTGGACTATAAAATACAGTTCTAGCACTATATACCCAGAATGCCTAAAGATGTGGTACAGGTCCTTTACTTGCTTGCTTACTATCCAAAATTTGGAACTAGCCATTTCTGATGCGGGTAACCCGTTTTCTTTTAATTTCTATCAAGATATCTTCATTACTTCCTGATATTCTTATCATGTACCCATAGAGCTGTATTAATTTATAAAGGTCTGGTCCTTATCAGGGCTACTAATCTCCTCACAAGTAGCAGATACCCCAAAGGCTCAGACCTTATCAGACATGGGTGGCAATGAAAATTCAGTCATTACACACACAAAAAGAAAAACAAACTCAACCAGCTGAGTTAGGGTCTCAGTTATAACCAACGGTTAAAAAGGGATTAGGTTAAATGAGATTCTTTTTCGTTCCAAAATCAAGTCTAGTCATTCATTTATTTCTTCACTACTCTCCTGGCTTTCCATGAATTGCCCCTCTTTATCAAGATTGGCTGTAAATAATTTTAAAAGCTAGGTCTCCTCACTTAGGAAATATATAGCATAGACTATTATTCATCCTGTGATTTGCTGTTTTGCTTTGGCTTTTCTGCATTCAACTTCTTTAACATATCTTTCATCTGCTGTTATCAAAAGACCTTGATTTGCTTTAGACTAGTCAGATTTACTTTGATGAAAGTAAATTTGTTTAAATTTGTAATGTCCATTATTTCTTTACGTAAATGTTAGACAAGCCGTATAAAGACATTAAAATCATTTGGTGTCATTTTGCAACTACAGTTAAATCATCATCATGTAGCAGGTCCTTTGCAGAACGTCGCTCTCATCACAGTCTGCCTGTAAGAAACTCGGTCTCTTGCCAGTTCTCCTGCCTCATGAACTTTCACACTCAAGGAGTCGCTTATATCCTGTGCCCATCTTCGTGTCGGTCGGCTCCTGCACCTCCTTCCTGGTACCATGCCTTCTGCTATAATTTTTTTTCCAATCTGTCGTGGCGCTTGATATGACCAAAATATTAAATATTACAGTTAAATATTTGACCAACTGTAACATGCTAAATTTTAAGTGATAATACACTGTGGCCCATAAACACATTTTTAAATATATAAGTGGCTTTTGATTTTGATGGCCTGGATATAGAAGGGATTAATGTAAATGTTTACAGAAATACCCATCACCACTCACCAATTATTTTCTACTGACTAAAAAGTATACACATATTTCTTATGTAAACTTTGTTGAATTTACAGAATCATGTTGTTTATCTGTTGGCAAGGCTGTGTTCCGTGTGTATTTTCAAATCATATAGTAGTTATTTCCAGTAGTTTCACTAAAATATATTGGAGTTACAGCTCTTGCTTGTCTTTATTTTTCCTCTTGCTAATATTCATTTCCTGTATTCACACATGTGTTTGGGCATCAACTGTCTGAGCCACACAGATAGGTGGAGACCTCAGCTAAGTGATTTTGTGTATTCTCGTTTGTAACTGTAATGTTGTTTATTCATGTCGTGTGCTGAAGAATTATTTCCTGCCGCAGTGTTCACTTGAAGTTTGTGTTTGTGATAATGTGAAGTTGACTAGTTCCAATTTTAATATAGTCTGATATCTTTTCATGACACTAAAGTAAGAGACGGTCACCTTTTGTAACATTGTGATGGTAAATAATATCTAATTGGACTTTAAAATCTGTTTCAGAGTTGGCTTCAGAAAATGAAGACTTAGAGGCTTGGCTGGACAGTGTCTTAGATGGCTGAACAGGAGCAGCACAGAAACTTACTCATAACAATTCACTGCTTTTAAAAAATTAAAAATAAATAGTTTTGTTGAATCGAAAATAAATCTGTTGGATTTCACTTTATGAGTGTATTAAATATTTTAAATAAAAATGCAAAATAAAAGGTCACTTATTTTTTACTCTAAGTGAATCCTTACCTACCGAGGACAATAGGGTATGTCAGAATAATACATGATGTAGTCATAAGGTCCCCCAGTTATAATAATTTTTTTAAGTTAAATTGGGTATCTGCCAAACACGAAAACAGCGAACTGACTGTTTTACATTTGCCGTGAGCTTTAAAATTTGTTTTTCGGGACCTGTCTGTCAGTTACCACCCACTGTATATTAATATAATTAAATCCATACATTTGTTTAAAACCGCTGAGGTGAATGGCTGTTGGGAAAAATGTCTAACAGGAAATTTTGATGATATACTAATTTCTGTAAATAAAGCCATTTTCCACAAAAATTCTGATAATATACTAGTTTCTGTAAATAAAGCCATTTTCCACAGAAATTTTGATGATATACTAATTTCTGTAAATAAAGCCATTTTCCACAAAAATTTTGATGATATACTAATTTCTGTAAATAAAGCCATTTTCCACAAGGAAACCTCTATTTAAATGCTTTTTCTTAGCAACTATGCCTGGTCCCAGTTTTTTTAAAAAGTTGCTTAGGAAAAACTGAAGCTATCTGGCTGGCAGGTCTCCTCATATATAAACTTCTGTAGCAAGCCGGGAAAAGGACATTTACAGGGCCATGGCAAAAACTGGAAGTGCTTCCTGGGGCCAGAGGATTAAGCATTTAATTTCACAATTTGCTTATATTATTTCCCAGTATGGGTTCTGGGACCCCATTTTAAGAGGGGGGGGGGAAGATAGGAACACTGTTGCAAAGGCAGACTAATTCAGATTGTTTCCTTTGAAGTCAGTGTACATCCACCTGAGATGCAAGGAACCACCAGTCTGCATTTAAATCAGCCAGATCTGTAAAATGAAGGGGGGGGGGGGGGGGGGGGGGGGGGGGGGGGGGGGGGGGGGGGTGGGGGGGGGGGGGGGTGGGGGGGACGGGGGGGGGGACGTAAAACTTGAGATCTGAAACAAGATCAAAGTTCAGAAGTGGAGGACCAACCACAACTTTACAGCCGATGAAAGCTAAGAGGAAGAAGAATGTTTTCTTCAAGAATATATTCTTTAAGAACTCAACCTGACAGTTTTCCAGAAGTTCAAGTTTGACCCATAATTCCAACGTACTGTGATCGAAACCCACTGCTGGCTGCGTGGATTTTTATCATGGTATGTCGTCCCAGCCTAAAATGGGTACAAGGATGTATGTCCTGGGAAAGTAAAGACAGCTGGCGTAATGCTGACTACCCACCTAGTGCCGATTGGTCTGTAAAAATTTGGGTGCTCTTCCAAAATGCCCGATGCGCCTAAAGGCGTGAAAAGGGATCTTAACTTACTTAGTCTTTCATAAAGCTCATAACTAACCAACCAACCATCCAACACTCATTCTTATTTCTATTTAGTATTCCATAATTATTTATAACCCCACGATATTGTCAAATATTTTTTTTTATTAATTTATAAAAATATAATTTAATCCACACATTTGTTTAAAACCGCTGAGGTGATAGGCTGTTGGGAAAAATACTGTCGGACTCTGACAGACTTCCATGATAGAACCTGCTGAATTAGCCACACTGTCGGCACGTTCCAGATTTCTGTAGAACTCAGATGGCAAAGAGAAACAAAAGTCTCTAGGCCTGCCAAGTTGTTTTTTCCTAATAATTGCCGCTGTGATGCCAACAAAAATGGCCAGGGAGACAGTTATTCCAAGAATTATTATAAGTAAAATTGGATTCATGTCCCGTCCAAATACAAAAAATCCGTCCAATGAGGTTGCTGTAGTTGAATTTGAGGTAGAATCTGAAATTAAAATAGGTACACAGAAATGTTAAAGTGTGATGTAAACATTTTTTTTTTCAATTTTTTTAAATTTAAAATCTTTGTTAACTAAATTCAATATATTATTTTAATTTACAAATACAAACACTGAAAGAATTATGTCAGTATGCTCTGTATCTGTTTCCAATTACCAACTGAGTTATTTGTTTCCTTTCTTAGGTGTAACATTTAATTTGCAACCTTTTCTTGTTCTCTTTCGCCAATTACTTCATCAAACATGCCATCATTCATTTTCTTCATGCCATCATTCATTTTTTTTCATGCTATCATTCATTTTCTTCATGCCATCATTCATTTTCTTCATGCCATCATTCATCTTCTTCATACCATCATTCATCTTCTTCATGCCATCATTCATCTTCTTTATGCCATCACTAATCTTCTTTATGCCATCATTCATTTTTTTTCATGCTATCGTTCATTTTCTTCATACCATCATTCATCTTCTTTATGCCATCATTCATCTTCTTCATGCCATCATTCATCTTCTTCATGCCATCATTCATCTTCTTTATGCCATCATTCATCTTCTTTATGCCATCATTCATCTTCTTTATGCCATCATTCATCTTCTTCATGCCATCATTCATCTTCTTTATGCCATCATTCATCTTCTTTATGCCATCATTCATCTTCTTTATGCCATCATTCATCTTCTTCATGCCATCATTCATCTTCTTGCTATATGCCATCATTCATCTTCTTCATGCCATCATCATTCTTCATGCCATCATCTTTCTTCATGCCATCATTCATCTTCATCCTCTTTATGCCATCATTCATCTTCTTCATTCATCATTCATCTTCTTTATTCATTCATCTTCTTCTGCCATCATTCACTTCTTTATGCCATCATTCATCTTCTTCATGCCATCATTCATCTTCTTTCATCTTCTTTATGCCATCATTCATTTTCTTCATGCCATCATTCATTTTTTTTTGCATGGCCATCATTCATTTTCTTCATGCCATCATTCATCTTCTTTATATGCCATCATCTCTTTATGCCATCATTCATATGCTTTATGCCATCATTCATCTTCTTTATATGCCATCATTCATCTTCTTTATGCCATCATTCATCTTCTTTATGCATCATTCATCTGTTTCATTCATTCCATCATTTATGCCATCATCTTTATTTCATAGCCATCATATCTTCCTTACCACAGCACATCCCCCCATCTTCTTTATATGCCATCATTCATCTTCTTATGCTCCTTCTTTCTTTATGCCATCATTCATCTTCTTTATGCCATTCATCTCATCTTTCATCTTTTCTGCCATCATTCATCTTCTTTCATACCATCATTCATCTTCTTTTATGCCATCATTCATCTGTTTTATGCCATCATTCATCTTCTTTATGCCATTATTCATCTTCCATTTCATGCCATCATTCATCTTCTTTCATCTGTTTCACATACCATCATTCATCTTCTTCATACCATCATTCATCTCTTCTTTATGCATCATTCATCTTCTTTATGCCATCATTCATCTTCTTAATGCCATCATTCATCTGTTTCATACCATCATTCATCTTCTTTATGCCATCATTCATCTTCTTTATGCCATCATTCATCTGTTTCATACCATCATTCATCTGTTTCATACCATCATTCATCTGTTTCATACCATCATTCATCTGTTTCATACCATCATTCATCTTCTTTATGCCATCATTCATCTTCTTTATGCCATCATTCATCTTCTTTATGCCATCATTCATCTTCTTCATACCATCATTCATCTTCTTCATGCCATCATTCATCTTCTTCATGCCATCATTCATCTTCTTCATGCCATCATTCATCTTCTTTATGCCATCATTCATCTTCTTTCCATCATTTCAGCTTCTTTACCATCATTCATCTGTTTCGTACATTCCATCATTCATCTTCTTTATGCCATCATTCATCTTCTTTATGCCATCATTCATCTTCTTTATGCTTCATTCATTCTTCATGCCATCATTCAATCTGTTTCATACCATCATTTCATTCATGCCATCATTCATTTTCTTCATACCATCATTCATCTTCTTCATGCCATCATTCATTTTCTTTATGCCATCATTCATCTTCTTTATGCCATCATTCATTTTCTTCATACCATCATTCATTTTCTTCATGCCATCATTCAATTCTTTGATATCACATCATTCATCTTCTTTATGCCATCATTCATTCTTCTGCCATCATTCATTTTCTTCATGCCATCATTCATCTTATGCCTCATTCTCTTCTTTATCCGTCATCCATCATTCATCTTCTTTATGCCATCATTCATCTTCTTTATGCCATCATTCAGCTTCTTTATAATACCATCATTCATCTCTTTATGCCATCATTCATCTTCTTCATACCATCATTTCATATGCATCATCTTCTTTATGCCATCATTCAATCTTCTTTATGCCATCATTCATCTTCTTTCATGCCATCATTCATCTGGTTTCATACCATCATTCATCATTTCTTCATACCATCATTCATATCCATCATTAATACCATCATTCATCTTCTTTATGCCATCATTCATTTTCTTTATGCCATCATTCATTCCATCTTTCATCTGTTTCATACCATCATTTCTTTATGCCATCATTCACATCTCTCTTCCATCATTCATCTTCTTTATGCCATCATTCATCTTCTTTATGCCATCATTCATCTTCTTCATGCCATCATTCATCTTCTTTATGCCATCATTCATCTGTTTCATACCATCATTCATCTGTTTCATACCATCATTCATCTTCTTCATGCCATCATTCATCTTCTTCATGTCCATCATTCCTGTATTCATCATTCATCTTCTCATTCATCTTCTTCATGCCATCATTCTCTTCTTTATTGCCATCATTCATCTTCTTCATTATCATCCATTCATCTTCATCTTCATTCCATTATTCATCTCATCATTCATTCATCCTGTTTTAATACCATCATTCATCTTCTTTATGCCATCATTCATCTCTTTATGCCATCATTCATTTCTTCAT